AAAAAAAAAAAAAAAAAAAACGAAAAAAAAGGAGTCATCTTTGATCTTACGTACCCACCACAGGGCCAATATTCCTGGCTACCACAGGTTTCCTGGGCGTGGCAACTTGCAAAAGCCACTCAAGTTGTCCAGAGAAAGGTTAATACGGCCTCACCATAACTGGCCCTTCTAGCTGAGTGTGTCCTGCCCCACGCAGGCCCCACCCACACGGAGCAGACCTTGCCGAGCAACTGTTGAATGAACACACAGCTGCCACTTCAGCTTTCAGGTGCACAGACACACGCAGTGTGCATACCTGAGCCTTATGCTAAGACACTCGCAGCCATTCAAGCCGTTTAAGACACTGTCTTTAGGGATGAAGCTCTAAGGAGGATACACATTTTTAAACAATTTTTGCTGTTTTAGGATTTTTTTTTTCTTTTTTTGAGGCAGGGTCTCACTCTGTCACCCAGGCTGGAGTACAGTGGTGTGGTCACAGCTCACTGCAGCCTTGACCTCCTGTGCTCAAGTGATCCTCCCGCCTCAGCCACCTGAGGAACTGGGACTACAGGCATGCACCATCACACCTGGCTGATTTTTTCTTTTAATTTTTTTGTAGAGATGGGGGTATCCCTATGTTGCCCAGAATGGTCTCAAACTCCTGGACTCAAGCGATCCTCCCGCCTCAGCCTCCCAAAGTGCTGGGATTACAGTGTTTTAAGATTTGAATGTGACATCTCCAAATTCCAGACATAGCCCCTCATTTGCCCAGTTTGCTACTACAGGCCAGCAATAGGCACAGTGCGGGGAGCCTGCCCAGGAGCCCAGGGCCAGATCAGGGAACTGGGGTGTAAGCAGGCAGGAGAAGCCAAGGGGCAGCGGGGGCGAGAAAACCTAGGCAGAAGCATTTCTTGCACAGCTCTGGACGCACCACACACACAAGAGACACCACTCGGGCGGCCAGTCACCTGGTTCTAGGTGGAGAATAGGAAAGCGATGATAGAAATAGGCTCTCTGAGTGCTCTGCATCTCTGCAACAGAGAGGTTAAAGCAAAACCCAGGCAAAGGAAAAGGAGAAACCAACAGAAAGAATTAAAAAGAACCACTCAAAGCAACCAGCCTACCAAGGAGTAGAGGCGGGAATGCGACATGGCACGGGGCTGGGAGCCTAGGCTGCAAGGCTCGGGGCCGCCTTGGACTTTCCCACATGCTGAAAGCGCTCTGCCCAAGAGGACCCGGCCACGGTGCGGGCTCGAGGGCGGCGGCCTCCTGTTTCAGTCCGAGGAGCCCTCTCTCATGGGAGCTACAGAGGGCAGAGACCACCTGGCCTATGTCAGGGGGACGTGTGCACCCCTTGTTTGGCGACTCGGCCCACTGTGGAGGTGGGAAGATGAGCAGCCGCAGCCAAGAGGAGGCAGGGGGGGAAGGGCAAAGGGCGTACCATCCTTCCACAGCTCCGAGACAAACTTGTCAGAGGACTGGTGGAGCAGCGTGGCGATGTTGTCATTCAGGGGGTCCATGTTCTTCATCAGCCACTCGTCAGCTTTGTAATCCACCTGGCAGGGTCAGAGATGCAGGAGTCACAAGCTGCGCTGGGGACACGCGTGCTCACAGGCTCTCCAGAGCACAGGCTGACCTCAAGCGTGGAAAAGTCAGAAAACGTGGAAACCCTTTGACCTAGCATCTCCACCCCTAAGAAGGAAGTGATGAGGATAAGGGGCACGAGGCCTCAAGACATTCCCTGCAGCATCTCATGCAGAGCCAAGCCTCAAAGCAAGGCATGGCCAACAACGGGAGCCTGGCTCTAGACATGGCATGGTGGCCACACAGTACCGTGCTGGGTTTC